TTCCATGACCTTCCATGACCTTCCATGACCCAACATTGACCTCTGATGGTCTCCTTCACCTTCCATGACCTTCCATGACCTTCCATGACCTTCCACGCTCCAACATTGACCTCGCTTGACCTCCTTGACCTTCCATGACCTTCCATGACCTTCCATGACCTTCCACACCCCAACATTGACCTCGCTTGACCTCCTTGACCTTCCATGACCTTCCATGACCTTCCATGACCTTCCACACCCCAACATTGACCTCGCTTGACCTCCTTGACCTCCCATGACATTCCATGACCTTCCACATCCTTCCATGACCTTCCATGACCTTCCATGTCCCTCCATGACCTTCCATGACCCAACATTGCCCTCGCTTGACTTCCATGACCTCCCATGACCTTCCATGACCTTCCATGACCTTCAACGCCCCAACATTGACCTCGCTTGACCTCCTTGACCTTCCATGACCTTCCATGACCTTCCATGACCTTCCACGACCTTCCATGACCTTCCATGACCTTCCATAACCTTCCAGGACCCAACATTGACCTCGGATGGTCTCCTTGACCTTCCATGACCTTCCATGTCCCTCCATGACCTTCCATGACCTTCCATGACCCAACATTGACCTCGGTTGATCTCCTTGACCTTCCTTGACCTTCTATGACCTTCCACGCCCTTCCATGACCTTCCATGACCTTCCACGCCCTTCCATGACCTTCCATGACCTTCCATGACCTTCCATGACCTTCCTTGACCCAACATTGACCTTGGTTGGTCTCCTTGACCTTCCTTGACCTTCCATGTCCCTCCATGACCTTCCATGACCCAACATTGACCTCGACTGATCTCCTTGACCTTCCATGACCTTCCATGACCTTCTATGACCTTCCATGACCCAACATTGACCTTCGATGGTCTCCTTCACCTTGTTGACCTTCCATGACCTTCCATGACCTTCCATGGCCTTCCATGACCTTCCATGACCTTCCATGACCTTCCATGACCTTCCATGACCCAACATTGACCTTGGTTGGTCTCCTTGACCTTCCATGACCTTCCATGACCTAACATTGACCTTGGTTGGTCTCCTTGACCTTCCATGACCTTCCACGACCTTCCACGACCTTCCATGACCTTCCATGACCTTCCACGCCCCAACATTGACTACCATGACCTTCCATGACCTTCCATGACCTTCCATGACCCTCCATGACCTTCCACGGCCTTCCACGCCCCAACATTGACCTCGCTTGACCTCCTTGACCTTCCATGACCTTCCATGACCTCCCGTGCCCTCCCCCGGCCAGGCAACGACCTGTTCCTGGTGGCCGTGCACGAGCTGGGCCACGCCCTGGGCCTGGAACATTCCAGCGACCCGTCGGCCATCATGGCCCCCTTCTACCAGTGGATGGACACCGAGGCCTTCCAGCTGCCCGACGACGACCGGCGCGGCATCCAGCAGCTCTACGGTGAGGCCACGCCCCCTCCCCGGCCACGCCCCCCCCCCCCGGATTTGGGGGGCCACGCCCCGGATTACCCCCCCCCCGAAAAAATCGCCGTCGAAATCGGCCCAA